TGTCGCAGGCACCTTCGGCAGGTCTTTCTGTAGTCTGTCCTATGCTTGAACAAAGTACCGTTCACTTCTTGTGTCTCGTGGCTTCGCCAATGTGAGCTGGATGCTGCCGCAGAAGAAGTGCGGAGTGATATCCGAAGTAAGCGTCGTGTTTGGCCATTTGCATGACGACAAAATCTGACAGCTGGTGAATCTGCGCAGGGAACTGCATCCGTGGACGCCGCGGCTATGGTTCGTTTCTCAGAGGACTCCGGGAATTGCAAACCAGGTTTTGAGTACATGCCCGTGCATACGCCAAATGAGCAGTCAAATCCTGATTGAGCTGCTTCTCTGTCTCTTCCGTCATAGAGCGGTTTTTGTCTGCCAATGAGCAGACTCTCGTTCGAATTCTGTGTGAAGTCTCTACCATGACACCCGATTATCTCATTAAGTAGTTGGATGGTTTGGCGTCCCTGTCGGTAAACATTAGTAACTGAATTGGAACCCTATCAGGTTTGAAGTAAATATTCCGTATACAAGTCAGCCGTCACAATCGAGTTCACGAAACAGCGCAGTCACAGTGACATAGTCGTGGATCCTGATTGATGCTTATTACAAACTCTGGCTGAAGCAGGGAAGAGATCCATCCTCACTACATGTTCGGAGCTTGCATCCAAGATCCCCAGTCGAGTTTACGATTTCGCTGTGATGTTTGCATGGTTTTTCTAGATACGTAGGTTATAATACAATTCAGGAAGTAGATCAAGCCCGTAAGTACAGAGATGATTTGGTACCTGAATTTATGTGGTATCCGGACACCCGCCCCACATCAAGCCATGTGGGCCCATCCTTCCCTTCACGGGTTGTTCTGGGCACTCCAAGCCCTGAGCCCATATTTCTGCAGATTTGGTAGTCTTTCAGAGGTCCAGTGCTAGGGTCGATGCTACAAAAGGTGTTTGAAGTGCTGTGTTGGAAGGGCTCAGCAACGAGGCCTGTCCGCCGAGCAGAGCAGATGGATAAATGTCTCTAGGGTCCACCTTAGGGTTTAGGGTTTAGTGTTGTCATTTTCGATGCCAGGTTTTCCGTCACGATTTCGTTGTGTTTCCTGTCCGGGCTGTCATCTACCTGTGCAGTGAACAACACAGTAGTTCGTAAAGCTGACAAGTGCGAGCGGGTGACAGCAAGGGAGATTTTTAGACGGACGCGTAGGGAAGGGCCTGATATTGGGAACAACGGGTCTTGGGCGGCAATTTAGCTCTGATTTAGTTGTCCTGTTGTTGACACCTTTTGACGAGACGCTTCCCAGCTCAATCCCGATTTGATTGTTCTGCGTCTTGCGGTGCTCTAAGAGAAACAAGTAAATCGTAATGTAATTGTGCTATCTGGGTACACCAGGCATGCAGTAGACTGATGCGGGGCTAACTCTTAGATTCACCCCCTTCCCGATGCGACAACTGAGCAAAGGTTCTCGCTTGATTGTACCGAGACCGCAGGACGAGGCGACCATGCCGGCCGAGCCCCTTCCGAAATCGAAGGAGGAGCTGCAACTGGGCGGCAAGCCGTGGTGCGTTTCAATGCCGAGTGGCGAGTGACTGCTGTTGCCGTGCCGAGGTTGGAAGAGGTGGACGTCCTGGCAGCTTCGCTGACAGACGGACTCGAGCCTGGCTTCAGTCGACCGTCGGGTCCACCTTCCGAGGCTTTACAAGTCGGTGACTTGTCGGAGCTGTGTCGAGAGACGTGTGACTGTTCGTTGCAGGTGACCATCATGCTGGAGCACATCCCCAAAACGAAGGACGAGTTGCCGCTTGAATGCCGTTTGTGAGTGACGGCCGGTAGGGATGCATTCTCGCGAGTGGATGCAGACGCAAGCCCAGGCTTCAGGAGATGGATGTGCTGGCAGCTTCACTGACGGCTGGTTTAGATGCTTCGCCCGGTGAAGACCGGGCAGAGGGCGATCTCGAAGCGGAGGCACTCATCCCAACGCTGTGATGCTGACCGTTGGATGTAGCAGATGTGAATTTCGGTGGCCGGAGGCTTTGTTACCGGCAAGCACTTCGAGTCCACCTTCGGAGGCATTGTGGACGTCGCATGTCACGCGGGCTCACGAAGAGAGTGCGGGATTGTGTGGGCGGGTCGTCTGGTAGAAGTCGTGTTGGCAGGCAACCATTTTCCTCGAGCACGTTCCAAAGTCGCAGGACGAGCTGCAGCTCGGCTGCCTTTCGATGCGGGTGAGGGCGCAAAGCGCGCGATCACGGCCAAGGCATGCTGAGATGAATGTGCTGGCTGCCTCGCTGACGGCGGGTCTGGCAGATCTTCCTAGCAAGAACCAGGTGGAGGACGATGCCGCAGAGGCTGGCCACCCGTAATCCCTTCCCGTGCCATTACCCACACGTTGTGTGTGTTCTTGGCGACAACAGGTGGCCACCCTGGCCCCCGAGCAGGCAGGGAGAAGCGAATGAGATCTCGACATTCCCAGCTTTTGCTGCATTGCTCCGTGTAGCTGCCACGCAATTCCGCTGCAAGGAGGAGATGGAGGAAATGCAGGCGCTTGTCGCCACC